TTTATAAATCGCTTGTACAAATTTCCGCGGAATGCTTGTGACCGCGTACATAACGTAAATTAATAAATTAATACCACGCGGAAAAAAGTACTTCTTTTAATGGCAAAGACATGTCAAAATTTGTCCAAGGTATATAAAAATGTCCGTTCATTTGGTCCACTGGAGCTGGCGAATTAGATGGTTCACATGCTGGAATAACCCCCCATCATTTGAAGAGCACGCCTTTGTAAACAAAAAATCCATTATTATACATGCATACATTATGTGTTTTTATCTACATGTATATTCATTTTACCCCACCTCTGTTGAATTTTCCGTGAAATCCTGGCTTACGATTGGTTAAAGTCTGTCACGTGAAGGAGGTGCACTACTTATACCCGGTCAGTTGTAAATCTATACCCGATCGATGTATTACGTAGCAAACACAACGTGACGTCATAATAGGCGCAGTATAAGCGTGATGAAGCATTTAGCAGAGAAAATCATTTATAAACCACAAATAAAACGTAAATGTTTCATCGGTGGGGGTAAATTAGTTACATAGTCTTTTAGTGACAGGGTATGGGATGATACCTGGCTCCGCCTCGCCAGGTATGAAATTTACTAACCAGGTATCATCCCAGACCCTGTCACTAAAAGACTATGTAACTAATAATACTTAAGAAATAAGATATCATTTTTAGAGTTGCATTGGGGTATGACATGAAGTCGGTCACGTGATCAAATTCTATAACGCCCGAAGGGCGTTATAGAAGATTTGATCACGTACCGACTTCATGTCATACCCCAATGCAACTCTAAAAATGATATTTTATTTCTTATATTTATATTTTACGTTTTCATTCATTTTTAACAAATATAGGCATTATTAGACTTAGATTTTGAAATGCAACGTCACGTTACTACGACGTTATGTGACGTCACAGTAGGAACTTTTCAAATTGCACGTGCAGTTTACTTTCCATACGCAAGAAAGTCTGATCATGTGACCGACTGCATGTCATCGAAAATTGAATGTCATTTTTTTTGGTATTGTCATATAAGGAAAGACACCGGCAAATGTAAATATTCCCGCTTGAAAGGCGGGAGGGTATATAGTAATCGGTACGTCCGTCCGTCTGTCTGTTACGCTTTGGGGTACCCATCTCTTATCCGCAACTCCTCTCATATAGCTGAATGAATTTTTTTTATATATCTTTTACTATTATTTTAATTGATATTAAATTCGAATTTGACAAAATGATATTTTAGATATATGGAAACACTTGTTCACGTTCGAAAAGTACGTAATTCTTGATGAATCCCCAACCAAGCTCCGGACATATATATCAGTAGAATGTTTCTCCAAAGAATGGTTGCATTTAATTTCTTTTAGGACGTTATTATTGAGGGGACACGCGCATAACGCAGTTTTGTTTTCTATAGTATTTAATACATCGGTAAAATTATTTTTATCCCCCTCCCGTGCTTCTCCAGTTCCTACGGCCATAAGATTACAACCAGTTTTCCTCATCGCTTAATACATATTATAGCTTTGCATGAGATTTCAATAAATTTCCTTTTTTCAACTTCCTCTTTTAGTATTTTCATACCTGTAGTCGCGAATTTTGTGATTTTTCCTTGCATGGCATCCTTATGATATAATATTTTCATGTATAATATATTATGTGTGAGAAAGTTTTACGCAGTACAGACAGCTAACGTGGAGTAGTTATTGGCAAAGAATTTTTTTTTTTATATTGAAATTGCGCAGCAATCATTTTTGAATTTCATTAAATAATTTACAAGTAGAAATATGTGCCCGGAAGGGAAGAGGGCTTGAAAGGGTTTGTATGTGAATGCTTAGTTCATCAAACTTCGTTAAGTTAAAACTTCTGTCCAAGTCCTTTGAAAGTACGCGCAATTCCCAATCCTCGCGCCCCTCCCTTTTTGAAGCTTAAAATAAAAACCATACTGACATAATGAGAGTTGTAGATAGAGCGGTGAAATTATTTCATTAGTCAATATACATGATATAGAGGCACAACTTAAGAAATGACTTAGGAAAAATTTAAGATAAGATTGTTTCGTGAAACAGCTGTGACAAATCTTAGGAACTTCCTAAGTTATAACTTAGGCATATCTTAAGTTATGTCTTACGATATATCTTAGGAAACTTTTGTGAAACAGGCCCCTGATTAGTGCATGTTTGTGTGCTTAATTGAACTGTAGTTCTCTGCTTGAAAAAATTCGAACAGATAAAGCAGAGAGCTACAGATCAATGCGTTGTAAAAACCTTCGATTTACGCCGACGCTAACTTCGGGTATTTTTCTTATATTTTATACTTTCCCCAGCTTTAAGATTGGTATTTTTAAATCTTATGTTTTAATCATACATTTAACTTCAATTCCTAAAAATTTAATTACCTTTCAACGCTAAAAATGACTGTTTATGGTTACGGAAGTCGAAATGGAACTCTTTTAAACCGACATTACAAAACTATTCACAGGGTTGTATCGGACCGTTAAAAGGTAAATAAAGTATCAAAAATAAGAGGTTAAAATATATAATCAATTATCTGATACCATTCTAAGCTTAAACAACACAAAATAAATACATTGTACCTAAAGTAGCGACAAAAATTGAAGGTTTTTACAACGCATGGATCTGTAGCTCTCTGCTTTATCTGTCTGAATTTTCTCAAGCAGAGAGCTACAGTTCTGCAGCTACACGTAATGTAATCCTTGATAAATTTTGTAATTTTTAACAGTTCTTACGTTGATGAAACAATAAACTCTTGACATCACCAATATTTGAACATTTTAATGACCTAACAAGCTACAGTACTTTTGCTCTAATTAAGACGTCACAGATCACCCACAATTCACTTTCATGCCAATAAAACTCTATTGTCATAGAGTTTAAAATCACAAGTCAAGGGCGGATTCATGGGTTTCGGGGGGGGGGGGGGAACCCCGCTCATTTATTTTTTTCACAAGTGTCATTTTATCATTTTGTTACATTGATAAGACTCTAATAAACATTATCCCTTTGTTTGTACAACTGTGAAATTTACATCCACTAACGTTACGTAACAGGAAATCACTTTCCGCTTGAACGCACACAATACACAGGTAATCAACAGAGACATTGCCTCAGAGATCGGGTAGTCCGTGCATCTAGTGAAATCACAAGATAACAGTATAATGTAGTCAGGTACCGATAACAGAAAGTTGCAAAGTTACGGTGCTGCCCAGTAATTTTCTTTTTCTGATAAAATGCATGTTTTTAAAACTATGAATAAGCTATAATTCAGGGTTTTTTTTACCGTTTTAAAATTAAATTAATATAATTTTTTTTACAAAACCAGGTTGGCTTAGCAAACTCCTCAAGTTTTGACAGATTCTCCAGTTTATGTAATTTTTTTCTTCAGTTAAGACAATTTAAAATTTTATTAATTGTACACGTGTGCTTATATTCCAAATCATATTGACAGTATATACTTAAGTAAGTTGAAAAGCACAAGTTAGGGATTCTGAAAAGAACTAATTTTTTAAATTTTTTTAGTGTTTAAAAATTTGGTATATTAGTTGTATCTTGGAAGTCAGCTTGACATAGGACTAAATTAATTGTAGGTGCATTTAAAGTAAACTAAGACAACATGAAGTCAACTACTTGCATTCCTAAAATTGTCAGATTTAACATTTTTTTAAAGCAAAGTCTAAAGTCTTGTTAAAATTAAATTAAATTGAAAACATTTTATTAAAAATTTGTGATGATCGGTCTTTTAAAAAGCTACAAAAAATACCCCCAAAATGCTGGAACATGCACCATTAAGAACCATTTAAAACAAAATTTTCTCGGGGGAGGATTAAATGTTAATATCAATCACTGGCCGAAAAGGGGTCTCGGTTTTATGTACTTTAATTTAACCTGTGCAGAAAGATGTGTTCAAATAAAACCTATGTCATACTTTATCAACCGGTAGTATCGGGTCATGATAACACGAAGAATGTTCCCGAGAATTTGCTTTGAAATAAACAATTATCAACTGAATGAGGTTAAGACATGGTATGAATAAGTGTCTCAAGTTTATGTGTTATCTATTATGTAATACAAACGATTGATCAATAGAAGAATTTAACAGCTGTAAGAAAGCTCACATGTTCCTTGTATAGCCTTGAAATTACTCTAAAGGAGACATTTGAACAATAAGCATGATCAGGCATATAATTTATATAAAATCAACATTTTTTACATGAATAAATATTAAATTAATTAAAAAAAAAAGAAATTTACTGTCTAAATGCCTGATTTTGTGTAAGATGTTACGTGAAAACCGACTTTGTACATACTGATTGCCGGGCCATTTATTATATACTGAATTGTCGACAGATTTTTCTTTTTTTTTTCCCCATACGAACATACGAATTATGAGCAAACGGCGTGTGTAACAGGTTGGAAGGGGATCTTCACTCTTCCATGGCACCTGAACCCATCTCTGATGTTTTCGAGGTCCGCCTTGCTCCGCACTTGTATTGTTTTATGGACTTATGAGCTTGAATACATATTTCATGTTCTGGTCAGAAGATCGCCAACATTCATTTTTTTTAAATACAAATGATATTAGTCGCCCTTGCGTCGCAGTGGTTGGAAAGTCTGCTCTAAGAGTCGCATAGTAAGAAGTTGATCTTGACGTCGTGGAATACGGACGTGGATACTGGCCCCACAGATGAGACCGTAGTAGGTGCTGGCATGAAAAAGATCCGTCACTGCTCAATGACCGAGTGCTGAGAAAAGAACAAAACTTGCAGGTCCCCGACAAGTAGTGGCCATCTCTATATGAGTGAACAATTTTTGAGAGGGACGTTAAAATAAGATTTAAAAAAACCCTGTACCAATATAGTATTTTAAACCATTTATTTCGTCCATAAGACGCATACGTAGAGCAGAAGTACAGCTTTAGGCCGTTTATTTTATGGTCGTGGAGGTTAAAGTAAATCCACAAGTTTAAACCGAGGTCATGAGTCACAGTTCCGAGTATGTCTAAATTTGCAGTCTTTCGCCGGGAATTGTTGGTGTCCCAATTTGACTGAAAAAATTCAAAACAAGCAAACACTCAAAACAATACTTAAAATCTAAAGTTAACTAAATTAAAAATGACATGTATATGTTTATATATTCTTTCTTTGATTCTTTTGGGCTAAAATTTATATGCCATATATTTTTTTCTGTCCTTAAGCTTGTTCGAGCCTTAAAATCAAACGCTTGTGTCTCGCTGTAGGCATTTGCACTACAGTAGGTCCTAATTTTGTTTCTTTTCCTCTGTATATGGTGACGTTTTTCGAAGCAAGTTAAAAAGAAAAAAATATATATAAATATATCATTCAATTATTTTTCTTCGAAAAAGAATCAATCTGAACATTGTATAAAATTTACAAATGCTAACAGGTTCGATGGAAGCATGAATTCATTATTATAATAATATTCCTTGTTATTGTATTTCACTTGGATACATTTTCTAGTCCTCTTCTTCGTCGATGTGCTTCAGATCCTCTTTGATATATAGATCTTCTTCTTTTCTACTTCTATCATCATCCTCCTCTCTTGTTTGGTAAACCTCTTCAAACTTCTTGCACTTGATGTCAAGAGCATCCAGCAAATCTTTCCACGTCTTCTCGTTAAAAGACTTTACTTTGCATCTCCTGTGATCCATGAGTTTCTTCAAACCTTTGGTGTTTTTATCGCTTTGCCTCTTTTTCAATCCGTGGACATGTGGCTCCCCCTTTGTTATGCACGAGCGGCGTTTTATCTTATAAAGACTAGCAATGTAGATCGTCAACTGCAGTTGTCTTTTTCTCGTTAGGAAATCTAGCAGCTTGCTTGCGCAGTATTCACAGGGTGAGTTGTTGAGGTAAATTCTTACTCTCATTAATTCTTTCTTGTACATCCCGGAGAGTCTTTTAATCAAGGTTTGCTCTGAATGTCTTTTGACGCTCGTTATGACCTTTGGATCTTGGCCACTGACCCAGTAAACTAACAGCGTGGTGCCGGCGTAAGACCAGTTGTATTGATGGTTTAGGACAGTGTTATACATATGATTAAAGACGTCTTCTGCATCTGAAAAAGTGGTTCTAAAACAATATTGAAGGGATCTAAACTATATGCATGTCAGTATAGCAAAGCATCATTCTCTTTTAAAGATCCTTACACACACAGAAAATTGTAGAAAATTTCGACATCAAATCTGTGTATAGTTAAGCACGTTTAAGACAATGTCACTGTTGCAAAACTCGTGACTTTCTTTTCAAAATCGCCTTCACAAAAAATAGAGATAGATCGCATGTTTCTTAAAAATGCATTGTTGAACTTTTCTTCGTACTTAGGGAATACGTTTAGAAAACTAAAACACAAGTTTACTGATCAGTTTGGAAGTTCGTACTATATTTTAAGCCTAATACACTTTTAAGAAACAAACAAGTCTGATATAAAAATAAAATATAAAAAAAATTCTGTTCTCCTAATAGGTCTCTTGTATTTGAACATTTCGAGTTTATTGACTGGGCTCTAGAGCAACATGCGTTTTGTCGGAACTGCATGTTTACAGCAGTTAGGTTCGAGGGGTCAACAAAATGTGTTTTGCACGAGAATACAGTCAATGAATATATTGTTATACTTTTTTTTATTCATTTTATTTTAAACATAAATGTATGCCGAACACCACAAATGAAAATGAAGTCAAGCTAACCCGCCCATTAAATGACGAAAGCAGTATACATGTGTAATATCTCATCGACAGGTCCAATATCTCATTTAGATCAAGCATTGGTTTTTTTAATAACCACTTCGTAAAACATTGGAAATGTTACAGTTTTAATAGTATTGATATGGGAACAATTCTTAAATAAGGGTATAGCTTTCAGTATAATTTAGAGAATGCTAAAACTCAGGAAATCAAAGAGCTAGTAATTACTCAATAGTAAACAAACTATTTTTGCGACACGCGTATGAGTTCTTTACATACCGGTGTTGTTTTATCTTTTTTCTTAGTTGTAACTAGTAACTAGATTCCCTTTTGTATTGATTGATAAATTATGCTCAAATGTAATATGACACAGGTACTTAAATATTTATAGATGCAGGTTTGATATGGTATTACATGTACAAATATTGCATAAGAGCTTCATATTTCAAACGATCGACTGTGTAATCAATTACCTGCTTCGGGTTCGTCATCACTTATGTTATCTAGAAAGAAACAACAGAAAACAACATTGTTACTAAAAAGCATACTAATAAAATCATAATTCGCATTACCTGTATCTTATCTCTCTATTCCCCTCTCCCCCTCTCTCTCCCTCTCTTTCTCTCCCTCTCTCTGTATTATTTATCATCAGACGGAAAGAAGAACATTTCATAAAAGAGCACCGCAAAGCGGAGCATCTTTTTGCAAATAGCATACATATAATCAATACATTCGATATCGATCTTGATAAAAATTAAATCACTGTCTTTTTGCACAAGAACAAATTGTGTTACTATGTTATACTTCAACTCAGTTGCAAGGGAATTAAAAAAAGAAGAAAACACAAACACACATGCAAGCATCCGAACGAACACACAGAAAAGTTAACAACACTGATAAACAGCTTATTGTATTAACCTTAACACTTGGCAGTTATAAGTAAAAGACACTAGAAAATATTTACCAAGGTCAGTTTCAGAATCATCATCTTCGTCGCTCTCTGTAAAAATATTATTTTTATTTTATTTCAACAATACTAGCTTTGTGTTAGCTTATGTTATAGCTAGATATATAGATATATCTGAAAGAATTAAAGTGCATTTTTTGGGGGCATAACTCTGTCCACTATATGTACATGCAAGTTAAATTATATCAATATGCAAGAAAAGAATGTAAGCCTGCAGGATAATCATGTCTACTTCAAGAAAATTATGAATTATCATGAATGTTACTGATCCTTTTAGGGATTTGGATTTTGTAAATTTACTCAGGATCCCAGTATCTGATACATTTATTGATAATAAATTCAAGATGCAACAAATTTTTGTTGACCTATCATGTGACTTTTACGTCGCCTATATTTGACATAAATATCTTGCTTGTCAACATTATTATCTTGCATGCATTTTGACAAAAATATCTTTAATGTTTACATGATAATCTCGCATGCAGACATAAAAATTGCAAGCTTAAAATATTTTCAGCAATTTTACATTCATATTTTTATTACAAAGATACAATTTGTATATATATATATATATATATATATATATATATATATATATATATATATATATATATATATATATATATATATATATATATATATATATATATATTTGTTTCTGAGTCTTCTAACCATGAATAGCTTTTAACCATTAAAATCAACAGAACAGTATATCCAGACATATACTAGTACTTTATGACAAAAAAAGTTATTTCAAAATTACTTATTAATCATAAACTACATTACCTTCCTCCTCTTCTCTTGCCCCGAAATCAAAACCTCGTCTTTCGCCAGTGCCAGATCCCCCTTTCACCCCGAAGCTAAAACTTCTTGATTCCACCGAATATGAACTTCCTCTGGCACCGAATCCAAAAACGCTTTTATCCATTGAGCTAGAACTTCCTTTCGCCCCAAAGCTAAAGCCAACAAATCCTTTATCCCCGGAGCCAGAAGCTTCTTTTCTACCTAAGCCAAAACTTTCATTCTCCCCTGAGTAAGAACCTTCTCTTTTACCAAAGCTAAATGTAACTTTTTCCCCAGTGTCAGATCCATCTTTTACCCCGAAATTGAAACCTCCCTTTTCCCCAGAATTAAAGCCTCCACTTTGCCCGAATGTAACCCCCGATCTTCCTGCTGAGTCAAAACCTCCACTTTGCCCGAAAGTAAAGCCTGATCTTCCCGCAGAGTTAAAACTTCCTCTTCCACCGAAGTTAAAAAAATTCTTTTCCCCAGAGTTAAAGCCCCCTCTCCCCGCAGAGTCGAAACCTCTTCCAACGCCGAAGTTAAAACTTGGCTGCGAATCCATAATGGGCGATATGCATCCAAAAATATATCAAGGTATTGCCAGCAGTTCTGTAGAAAAAAAACTTTAAAAAGGCACATGATTGAAACAGCGTAATCGATTAGCTAAATCATTTATGTACATATCAATTTCATATTTTGACAAAAAAGCTCCATGCTGAAGGGATATACTTTGGTAGTCCCAAACATTCTAGATCTTTTATTGCATGTCGATTTATTAATTGACTTTATAAAACAGTTATATGTATCTACTAGGATGTTTAACATATACAGTGTATCGATGTGACCTTAAAGATAAACAAAAGTACATGAATGTTAATTTTTTTTCAGACAGTAAGATGTCAATATCTTGAGATGTGTTGTGAAAAACGTTTCACTTCTCAAATTTTGTGAAGGGCTGAAGACACTGAGGTTTATGCTTAATTAGTATCAATCGTATATTTTTTAAAATTCAATCAAATTAACAAAATAAATAATAGAATAAAATAAACAAAAATTCTTTCAGTTCTCTTCGACTGCATGGCATGGAGTGGAGCGTCTGGTCAGAGTTGCTGAGTAAGGAGTTGATCACTACGTCGCTGGTTCGAATCTCACTGTGGGGCATTGAGACCTGTCCTTAGAATGAGATCGTATAAACCTGTCCTGTGTCGCAGGAGATGCTAGCACAAAAAGATCCCTAAATGACTAAATGGCTTTAAGTGCTGAGTATAGATTAAAAATAAAATTTGCATCTCTCAAACAGCAAGTGGTTACATCTCCACCTTCTAGAAAAAATTCTAGAGAGGCACGTTAACAACAAACAGACAAAGTTGAAAGTTGAATTATGTCAACTTTTTACATGTGTTATTATGTATAATTGAAATGAAAAAAAAAGAAAACAATAAGACAATTATTTTATTTTTCATACGCTGAATGCATAGTATCCCTTTAAAATATTGTACATGAAGTATATGAAACAAAAATACGGTCAAGTTAACGTCTTTACGAGAGCCGTTCAAAAAATACGCGG